GGTCTTTGACTTCGACCGCAGAATAAGAATTTCTGGACAAGTCATAATGGTAAGAAAACTTGGTGGAGCTTTATTTAGAAAGTGAGCAGGCAAGCAGACAAACAGACTAGCAGAAAGGAGGAGATACCTTCTAACAGACTGGATGCTCTCAAAGGGAGTGAGGCACAGCTCTTTGGTTGTCAAGGGTATTTATATGGTAATGGCAGGGGTCTGTCTTAAAGATAGGTAAAGATAGGAATTTATCTTTACTCTCAGTCACTTTCGGTGTTGTTACACTTTCTAAGTTTCTGGCTCTTTTGTGTGTGTGTTGGGGGGGGGGTGGTGCTTGAGCTCTGAGCCTGGGCCTGGGCCTGAGCACTCAGCTCTTCAGCTCAAGGAGAACGTTCTACCACTTGAGCCACAGCACCACTTCCTGCTTTTTCTGCTTATGTGGTGCTGAGGAATCAAACCCAGGGCCTCATGCATACAAGGCAAGCGCTCTACCACTGAGCCACCTTCCTAGCCCAGTTTCTGGTTCTTGTTTACCATTCGCTTGTCTGCATTTTGGGAGAGAATTTCTCTCAGGGAAGGCATATATCCTACAAACAAATGTCAATTCTTGGGGTGAGAAAGGTATCTCTCAGGAAAGAATGCATCCTGTTAGCTCTCTAGGAAGCAGAGACAGTGCTTCTGGGTTTCTAAATACTATGTTTCTGAGTTGCCTTCACCAGGCCTCATTTTCTCTAATTCATCTTGCCTTGTCTATCCCTAAAATTACTTCAGTCTCTTAATCTTAAGTGTTAGGCCAATGAGCTCCCTTCCCATTGCTTAGCACGCTCCTTCCCCGCTCCACAGCTTGGCACGCTCCCTTCCTAGGCAACACTAGGTCCATGTAGTAAAGGCAGTAAATAATCAGCCTCCAGCCCCCTTTGCCTTGGGATGGCACTCTTCTGGGACAGCTACCGCCCTATAAGGCAGCAAGAGCCCCTTAGAGTGACCTTCAGGTCTGGGCAGCTGCAGGGCTCCATATCTACTACTTGGGCAGCAGCCATAGATCCTAGTCTGCCATCATGAAGACCCCTGGCCCTCACCTCCACACTGGAGTCTCCACCTCCTAGCCCCTTCTAGCCCCTCCTAAACTTCAGTAGGTTATACGGGTCACCTCAGACAATAGCCGGTGCTGCTCCTCACTCCTGTCTTGTGGGAAGGGGTCTTGCCGGCCCCTGTACCAGCAATAAACCTTTTCTTTGTTCTTTGTACCTGGATGTCTGTGTGGTTTTTGGCAAAGTCTAATGTACTCTAATATTAAGGGAAGTAGATGAATGAATATCTCCTGTAATTTTTTTTTGGGGGGTCCGGTCGTGGGGCCTGAACTCTGGGCCTGGGCGCTGTCCCTCAGCTCTTCAGCTCAAGGCTAGCGCTCTACCACCTGAGCCACAGCGCCACTTCTGGCTTTTTTCTTTTTGCTTCTGTGGTGCTGAGGAATCGAACCCAGGGCCTCAGGCATGCAAGGCAAGCGCTCTACCACTGAGCCACCTTCCCAGCCCTCCTGTATTTCTTTAAGCTTGAGTTTTTGAATTTCTGGCAGTTGTTCGCCATGCCTCGTTCTCAACGTACCGTTTCCCTTTGGGTGCTGCAGAGTCCTTCTGTGCTCCTCCTGTGGGCAGAAGGTGGAATTGCTGGCATTGCATCTCCCTGCCTCCATAGGTGACTTGCCAGGGTGAACACCTTCGGCTGCCTGAGAGGTGTGGCTTCAGGAAAGCAGCATCTGGGGGTGGGGCTGGGCCTCAGGTGGGGCTTGGCAACAAAGAGGAGAGCAAATGAGAAGAGCCCTACCCTCTGCAGGGAAGCCTTTGGGGTGAAAGGACAGGGCTAGCCCTGGAAGCAGAACACTGGGGACAAGGCCAGACTCCAGAGAAGCGGACAGCTGGAGCGGGGGTGGGAGCACTGCCCAAATCCCCTCCCCCACTCCTGTTTCACAGGTTCTGCAGTGGGTGGGCCTGACCCAGTCAGAGCCAGAGACTGGCAGGCCTGGGGGTCAGCGCGGCCTCTGGGACCCCCCCCCCCCCCCCCGGCAGGGCTGTGTTCGCTGGTGACGGCAGTGTCTTGTGAATCACAGGGACAGGAGCCAAATGTCCAGGAGGATGGAGGCAGAGGAGAGTCTGGGGGCCTGAGGAGGCCGAGCAATCCTGGGCCAGTGGGGAAGGAGGGTCTGAAATGCAGAGTTCAGGACAGGCCCTGGGCAGAGTGGAGGCCATGAGGCCCCCAGGCCAGCAGGAAATGGTGGTAATGGCTGTGGCTGGGGGAGGAGGGAGAAGGCGGGCAAGCAGCATAGTTTAAAAACTACATTTATTATGCACCATTTTCCAATGCTACAGGAAATATGTTGTTCTAGAAACATGGAACCTGCATGTGGGCATCTTGGTAACCACTGTACACATCTGGTGTGGGTCCCCTTTGTACTTTCTAGACATACACACATACACATGTCCAGTTACACACCCACATGCATGCTTGTAAACAATGTTGGGCTCAAACTGCACTGTGTGCCAAATAAAGGCTGTGGCTCTGATGCTAACCATGCCACCCTGCTGACCTCCTGAGAACAGATGCCCACATATGAGTGGTCAGCTAGCAACTGAAGACGAAAGTTTCCATCTACTAACAAGAAGCTTCTGACTAGTAGTGCAGCTTCCCGCCTCACCAGTGATTGCATGTATGTGTGTGTGCACTAGAGGTGCTAGAACTGCTAAGCTATGCCTCTGGCGACTTCCTTATCCTTGGTTCACATCTTTAAAAATATAGGGTTGGGATGTGACTCAAGTGGTAGAACACCTGCCTGGCAAGCATGAGGCTTGGAATATTGCCAAGAGGAGGAAGGATACAGATACGTATGCTAGTTGTAAGATCTGTGTGTGCTGGTACTGGAGCTTGAACTCAGCATCCGGGTGCTGTCCCTGAGCTTTTTTTTGCTCAAGACTGGTGCTCTACCACTTGAGCCACAGCCCTACTTCAGTTTCTTGGCGGGTAAGTGGAGGTAGGAGTTTCATGGACTTTCCTACCTATGCTGGATTCAAACTACAATCCTCACATCTCAGCATCCTGAGTAGCTAGATTACAGGCGTGAGCCACCGGCGCCCTGCTGCACTATGAGTTTTTGTAGACACCCCCAGCAACAGGCAGGTTGTGTCTCAGCACTTGGGAACTGGGAAGAAGCGAGTTCAGAAAGGAACGCAGCGGAGGCGGGTGAAATGAGACAGGCTCAAGGAGGCCGGGGATGTGGAACCTTCCCCTGGGTTTGGTGCTGCCCATGCTTCAGGTATTAAGTTTGGTTCTATTCACATGTCACCAGTTGTTTCAATATGTAAGTGTCAATACACACTCCCTTGCATGTCTACACAAAATGCTTTAGGAATAATTTAGCTTAGGAGCTGTCAGATGTAATGAAGCCTATTCTTTTTACCATCTCAGAGGCAAGGCCCTTGTGGGGGAGAATGGTCCCCACCCTCCCTGTACTGAAGGCTTCCTGCAGGAGTTGGGGTATTCTCTTCCTTCAAGATGGCACACCTTGCCCGGCCCTAAGGGCCTATCCAAACAATGCCACCCTTGGCCTCCATCCCCACCCCCCTCAGCCCCTCGGCCCCTATGGATCACCAGGCTGTGGAACAGAGTGGGCAATGCAGCTTTGGTACCCAGCTTCCAGCCTCCATTCCCCAACCAGTGTAGCTAACTGATGTTTAAATATTAAAAAGTGCTCATTGTCCCCAAAGGGGCTTTCCCACTGTCCACAGACCAAATCAATGTCCTCTGCTTTCCCTAATCTAGTGGATGGCCTGCGGTCCTGGGGTCCCAGGGAGTCAGGGTCATTCAGCAGCCCCAGGCAGGCACAGAAGCCGAGTGGCTCCTAGCTGGAGCAGCAGGAGGACATGTGCCTCCCACCTGGCAGAGCTTCCCGGGTGAAGGGAGCTGTGCCTGAGAGCCAGGCGGCCTCGGCGTGGCTGCTGGGACCGTCCAGCAGCAAAGGTCCCCAGCGTCAGGCCCAGGCCTGCATCTACAGGGGCGCAGCGTCGCCTGCCGGTCTGTACGGGGCTCCACGCGGGGGCCTGTGCGGGGCTCCACGCGGGGGCCTGTGCTGGCCACTCCACGGCACTGGGGATCTGAAACAACGAAGGAAGTGAGCGGTGTGACCCCTCCCGCAGCCTGCAGTCTTCAGTCCCTGCAGCGGTGGCCCAGCAACGCCAGTCCCTCAAAACAGGCCCTTAAGACGACCAGGAGGGTGAGTGGCCTTCCAACCCCACACTTTGGCTGAGACCAGTCTCCTGCCCTTGCCGGGCCTGTGTTCTCTGCTCAATTATGGGCACCCCACTACCCACCAGGCCCACTGTCCGTGGCCTGGCCTCCCATGCCCACATCTTCCGTAGTTCTCCAGAATCCTCACTCTCCCCACCCTGCCTTTCCTCCCTTCCCAAGCTACCAATAGCAAGCCCAGCTCCAGGACCTATCACTCTCTCTCTCTCTCTCTCTCTCTCTCTCTCTCTCTCTCTCTCTCTCTGCTGGTGGCTCCTGAGACTCCTGCAGGACCCAGACGGGTAGAAATCACCCTGAGGAACAGATAAGGAAACTGAGGCCTGTCATTTCCAGGACAAGGCCCCTCCCTCAATGTCAGCAAGGCCCACTTGCTTCCTGGATCCATCTGAATTTGTAGAACTCAGGGCGCCATACTCACCCCAACTGGCCCAGCTCATGCTGACATCAAGAGCTCTTCTGGAGGGAAGCCTTACCTGTCTCCTCCCCCACCCCCACCCCTGCGGCCATCAACGCCCGGCCCCAGGGGAACAGAGCTCCCCTCCAAGGCAGGTGTCAGTACCCCTCCCCCCTCTGATGGGCTCACAGGATGGCGCCACACAACAGAGCCAGCCTCCCCTGCGTGGGACACAGTGTCCAAGGTCCCTAGAATATGGAGTGAGGCCTGAGCAGATGTCAAGGGACCTGCCTGGCCCACCCAGCCTCAGTAGAGTTATTTACCTGAAAGAAGGGAGCAGGCATGTGGTGGCTCGAGCGCAGACCTGGGAAGTGGCCCAGTGCAGCCACGGGATGTCCTCGGGCAGATCCGGGAGCCATGTCACTAGTCTGCAGGAATGAAGCCACATCCGGGGACACTCACTATGTTTAAACCAGGTGTGGTGGTCCTGTCTGTAATCCCGCTACTCAGGAGACTGAGAGCTGAGGGTCAAAGCAGTTCAAAGCCAGCCCAGGCAGGAAAATCTATGAGACTCATTTCTAATCAACCACCAAAAAGCCAGAAGTAGAGCTGTGGCTCAAGTGGTCGAATACTAGCCTTGAACAAAATACCTCGGAGATAGTACCCAGGTCCTGAGTTCAAGCCCCAGGACCAGCACCCCCCAAAAAAGTGATTATATAAATTATAGATTATAAGAATTACAGAAAGTGATTAAAGAAATTATAGAGCGTGGGCGGCTGAGAGTCATGAAGACAACACGGCCAGCTGGAAGACGGGCTTCTCTGCTCTCCACTAGCTTCCTGTGGTTTTCAAGGAAACCAGTCGGAGGGGCGGCTAGGACCCCATGGGAAGGCCTGGCCTTCCTCCTAACAGTTCTGCAGCCTCAGAGCTCTGACCCCAACCTCTCCAGGCCTCAGTGTCCTCATGAGCTCGAGAGTCTGGGCCAGATGCTCTGGGAGGCCACCACCGGCTCAGAGTAGCCTTCAGTAGTTTCTGAGCTTGCACTGAGCTACAGATGCGGGGGTTCCAAGGTCACCTTCACAAGGTCACTGATGCACACCCACTGCTAGGGCTTACCTGCGGACAGTGGCGATGGCAGACTCCACCGGCAGGGTGCAGGGCAGCAGGGCATAGGACAGGATGCGCACGGGTAACAGGTTGAAGAGCCTGCTCAGGTACCCACCCCTGTCCTTCATGGCTTCACTCAGGGCTGAAAGAGACAATCTGGAGATATTTCACCTGCCCATGGGAAGGGCAGAAGGGGCTCAGCCTGCTAGGCTGTCTGCGGCCTGCTAGGCTGGAGTCCCAAGCTGGGTGCCAGCTGGGTTCACAGCCTGTGCCTTGCACAGCAAGGGTGAGGCAAAGATGGAAGGGAGCTGGGTGTGGGGTGCACGCCTGGTGTCCCAGCACTTGGGAGGAGGATGGAGGCAGGAAGTCTGTGAGTATGAGTGAGATCCTGATGAAAGAGAAGGGGAGGGAAGGGAGAGAGGAGGGAGGAGGCGAGGGGGAAGGAGGGAAGGGGAAAGAGAAAGGAAAGGGACATAGTCTATAGTTCAAAGGCTTGAACTCAGTCATGCTTGGCTCTTTAGCTCAAGGCTGGTGCCCTACCACTGGGTCCACAGCACCACTTCCAGCTTTTTGGTGGTTCCTTAGAGATAAGAGTCTCATGGACTTTCCTGCCTAGGCTGGCTTTGAACCGTGATCCTCAGATCTCAGCCTTCCAAGTAGCTGGGATTACAGGCATAAGCCACCAGGCCCGCAGATGGGGCCTGCTTTAAACGGCACTGATCCCATGGTGAGGACCCCAGCATCACCCCAAACTTCCCTCTCACTGTGACATACTGGGGGGTTCACATCTCTGCATGTGAATCTTGGGGGCACACAAACATCGGCCCACCACAGCATCCCCTTGGGTGGTGGTGACTACAGCACTGTCCAGTAAAGTTTCCAAGTGGGACAGGGGAAGGGAAAGCCAAGAGGGGCCTCAGGAAGGGCACCGTAGTGAGCAGGAGGGGACAGAAAGGCCCTAAGGAATGGCCAGGCCCCGGAGGCAGGTCGCTGGCCCAAGAGACCCAGAGACCAGCATGGCCGGGGCTCAGAGCTAGCCTAGGAGGGCGTCCCCAGCCTGGCTGCTTACTGAGCCTTTGTGTTTAGACCCTTGGTGGCAGACGGTGGCCCTCCCTACTGGGCACCTGGGGAGGGAAGGGGGGGCAGGAGACCCCTGGGCCGGGACCTACCAGCTTTCCCGGTCACTCTGCCCCTGGCACACACAGGTACCTGTGGTGAGCTTGGGGGAGAGGCTCCCAAACACAGCCTCGTCCCAGGCCACGACGCTGAGCTGCAGGGGGTCCAGAGACTCCTCCCCCTCCACGCCTCCCTGATCCACGCAGGGCCCATGGTCCTCTGGCTCCATCTCTTCTGGGGACAAACTCAGGCCAGGCTGGGGCCCAGCTCCCATTCCTGCAGAAGTGGGGAGAAACTAACCACCATCAGGGGAAGGCACAGCCGGCAGCAGCCAAGCCCTGGGCAGTGGCAAGACGACGGCGGGCATTTGTGGCAGGAGAGAGAAAGTGAGTCTTTAGCGCTGGGCAGCGCGAGGCCCTGGGTTTAACCGCAGTCAAGCAAAAACAAACCCTAGAGCCAGCAGAGCTTGCTCAGCCGCTGCTGCTCACCAGCTGTACGGCCCTCTCCACAGCTGGCTGGAAGGATTATAATCAATTTATCACAACCACACCACTGCCCTCCAGGCCCTGAGCCAGCACTTGACCGTTAGGCTGCCCAGCAGCTATCCAGTGCCAACTTAGGAATCCGAAGCACAGGGAAATTAAGCCATATGTCCAAAGTCCCTAGTGTGGGGCAGGGCCGGGCCTGGTGTCAAAGATGACGCCCTCACATGGCACCCTGAGCACACCGAAGATCCTGTTCCTCTTCCATTCAGCCCTGCGGTGTAACAGCAGGGTCTTGCTCCCGGAAACATGCTGTCCAGTGAATTTGTCTTTGTGGTGTGTCCCTAGGTGACATAACCTCTAGGGACCTCTGTGATGGAGGCCACCACTGACCAGCACCACACAGCACCTACAGCCCAAGCCCTGAGCCCGGGTGACTCAAAGACAGGCGTTGCTTAGTGGGGTGAGACAAGCCAGCGGACGCGACCCCACCCGGCAGGGACGCCACGCTGATTGCTTCATTCGGAGCCCGTCCCAGACACCCCATTAGAGCTCAGCCTGTGAGTGCAAAAGGAAAAAAACAAACGGGGGGAGGGACCCCGGGGCAGTGAGGACATCCAGGTTTGGGTCCTAGCTCTGTCCCACCCCAGGGGGGCTGTAAGCCCCTCTCCTCCCCTCCCTATCCTTTTCCTCCCCTCCCACCACTCCTCGCCCAGCCTCGGCGTTCCCATCTGTAAAATGGAGTGAAGATTTCCTATATCACAGGACTGACAAGTGGACCGATCAAGACAGAGCAGGCAGGCATTGAACACCTCATGACAAAACTAAGGGACTCTCTAGCAGACTGTGACATGAGTGACCCCCCCATACACACAGCCCCCCACGTACCATTCTCTTCCAGGAATCGGAAGGCATCCACATAGCCTTGAAAGCAGAGCTCACCCATCTCCTGCAAGCAAACCAAGCACGTGCACTCAGGGTCTCTCGTGGCATGCAGTGAGCAGAGGGGCCTGCGGGGCCAGCCATCCCGAGCGGACACGGGGCCCTGTGCTCCCAGGGGGCTGTGGGGCTGGGCTCCAGATCCAACCCTCCCTCCAAGGAGGCCCTGGGGCCTGGCTCTCAGTGTGCCTTGGTCTTGGGTGGAACCTCCATTCTAGCCAATTTTGGGGCCCGTTCTCTGTGTCCCTAACAGTTCCTTGGGAGCCCTGTGGACAACAGAAATCAAACCTCTTGGGCTGCGGCAGAGGCAGACCGCCCATCCACCCCAGCACCAAAGACAGCTCCCAATGTCCAGCTGTGCCCCCCTACCTCTTTTGTATTTTTGGTCGCTCATGGGGCTTGAACTCTGGACCTTTGCTCTGTCCCTAAGCTTTTCACTCAAGGCAAGCATTCTACCACTTGAGCCACAGCGCCACTTCCTGTTTACAGGTGGTTCATGGGAGACCAGAGTCTCACAGACTTTTTTGCCTGAGCTGCTTTCAAACTGTCATCCTCACATCTCAGCCTCCTGCGTAACTAGGATTGCAGGAACAAGCCACGATCACTCAGCCCCTGTTTTCTGAGAGCCTTACTGTGTAGTCATGTTGGCTCTAAACTCTCCATCCTCCTATCTCTTCTTATTTTTGTGTATGTGGTACTGAGGAATCGAACTCAGGGCCTCATGCATGCAAGGCAAGGCAAGCACTCTACCACTGAGCCACCTTCCCAGCCTCTCCATCCTATCTCTACCTCTGAACGCTGGGGTTACAGGTGTGTAATGTCCGGCCCTCCCTGACTTCTGAGTGCTGGGATTACAGGAATGCACTACCATCTCCAGCCTTCCCTGACTTATTAACTCACAGTCCCCTCGTCATCAGGAAGGCCCTCCCCCCCACCCCCTCCCCCCACCCCACCCCCCACCCAGCTCACCTTGGGACCAGGAGGAAAGAGTGCTCTGGACAGGAGGTAGACGTTCTCCTCGCAGACGCGGAGGCTGAGGTTGGCGACGTTCAGGTAGAGGAAGTTGGTGGACTTGACCTTGGGGCAGATGTCATACTCTCCATAGAAGGGTGACACCGTGATGGTGGACCTGGAGTCCAGGAAAGGCATGTTGTTGCTCAGTCCTCCGTCCACATATCGCTGGCAGGAAGAGGAGACGGGGAGTCTGTGTGTGGCTCTGGGCCGGTGTCTGGTGGGATTTCAGAACTCTGGGCAGAGACTTTGCAGGCAGCCATGGTGGGAAGACAGGGCTGGCGGCCACTGGCACAGCAGACCCTTACCGGGAAGGGGCGGGGCCAAGCCAGCACAGATGGGGAGACTGAGTCCAGGCTGTGTGTGCTGGTCACTGTCTAAAGCCACATGGGCACCCACAGATGTGCAATATAACCCAAGTAATCCCGGGGTTTGCTCTGTGTACTGAGGACAGAGGGTGATGTGAACCCTGCCCCCAAAAGAGACAGATAGCCACAGGTTCAAATCCAGAGCCCTATCCCTGGTGGGACACATGTGCCTTTGTGACCGTTTCCTTTCACACCTTGAAAAGAAGTAACACTTGCATGTGTTCTCTCTCTTATTTTCTTTTGCCAGTCCTGGGGCTTGAACCCAGGGCCTGGGGCACTGTCTCTGAGCTTCTTTTGTTCAACGCTAACACCCTACCACTTGAGCCACAGCCCACTTCCAGCTTTTTCTGAGTAATGTATTGGAGATAAGAGTCTCATGGACTTTTCAGTCTGGCTTTGAACCCTGATCCTCAGATTTCAGTCTCCCAAGTAGCTAGGATTACAGGCGTGACCCACCGGTGCCCAGCCTTTCTTTTCTTTTTTGAAACATGGTCTCACTCTGCAGCCCAGCCTGGCCTTAAACCCTTGATTCTCCTGTCTCAGCCTTCTGGGTTGTTGGGATTATACAAGTGTGCTACCATGCTGGGCTTAGTAGCAATAGTCTGAGAGGGTTTTGAGATTTAATCAAGTACTGAGTCTGAGACCTAGAAAATGTCCTCCTGATATGGGGTATGGTGGCTCACACCTATAATTGTAGCACAGGGGAAGCTGAACAGGAGGTTCAAAGTTCAAAGTCAGCCTAGACTTCATAGTGAGACCCTGACTCAAATAACAAAGAGGGTTTCCAACTAGCCCAACTGTTATAGGAAGAGTGGGATTCAGGACTAGCTTGTCTACCAGACAGAGCTGGGGCTTCGCTTCACAGTTGAAAGCCATGTGGATTGATGGATGTGTGTGTGTGTGAGTGTGCATGCATACGCCAGCACTGGGGCTTGAACTCAGGACCTCAAGCTCTTTCTTGCGTGGCTTTTGCACTCAAGCCTGGAATTCTACCACTTAAGCCACCACTCTACTTTCAGCTTTTTTAACTGATGATAAGAATCTCATTCCTCAACCGGCGCTGGTGGCTCTCGCCTGTCATCCCAGCTACTCAGGAGGCTGAGATCTGAGGGTCACAGTTCAAAGCCAGCCCGGGCAGGAAAGCCTGTGAGACTCTTATCTCCAATAAACCACTAGAAAACCGGAACTGGCCCTGTAGCTCAAGAGGCAGAGCGCTCGCCTTGAGCTGAAGAGCACAGGGATAGCGCCCAGGCCCAGAGTTCAAGCCCCATGACCGACCACAAAAAAAAAATCTCATTCCTGCCTACGCTGGCTTCTAACCCCAATCTTCAGATCTTCTGCGTCACTAGGATTATGGGCATGAGCACTGGTGCCCCGCTGGCAAGTTGGGTTTTTCCTCTGTAAAGCAGCGCATGTGCATGGACCAGGCTCTCTGGGTGTGAGTGGGGCTCCCTGCAGCTGGCAGCCCTGGGGATAGTGCTGCTGTTTTTTTTTTTTTTTTTCTGGTCGTGGGGCCTGAACTCTGGCCTGGGTGCTGTCCCTCAGCTCTTCAGCTCAAGGCTAGCACTCTACCACTAGAGCTTCTGGCTTTTTTTCTGCTTATGTGGTGCTGAGGAATCGAACCCAGGGCCTCAGGCATGCAAGGCAAGCACTCTACCACTGAGCCATCTTCCCAGCCCCTAGTGCTGCTCTTGAAACTTGAGTCCAGAGGGGCTGGACTGCCTTCCCGAGCTGAGAAGCCGGGAGGAAGAGCAATGACTGCACACGTGGGGGTCAGAGGTCATCAAAGAAGTGTTGTGGGAGAGTGTGTTCTCAGTTCTGGTGAGAGAAAACACCTGCCTGCCGCCAGCGGGGGGGGGGGGGGGGGGGGGAGGCATGTCAGGATTTAAACCTTGCACAGGACTCCACAGCCAGGTTCCAAGAGGCCCCGGGGACCCCTGCCCCCGCTGTGGGGCACAGAGGGGCCGTGGGCGGCGGCCTGAGTATAGGTTCCCTGACCTTGTGCGGGTTTGGGCGATGCCAGGGCCCTGGCTTGGAGCTTGCCAGCTCCCTTTGCACCTGCTGCCCATGGGGGTTTTAGAAGCTATTCTGCTTCAGTTGTTGTGAATTTAAAAGATAAAAGAACCCAGAAACGGCCAGCATTTTACAGCCTAGACTTATTCTTGCGCATTACAAAGTAGCACAGACATGAAAGATCTGTGTCAGCCACACATAATAGCACACATGTGCTATTTTCCCCTGAGAGAAAAGCACTACCTCCCAGGAGTAATCAAGTCTTAAAGATCTTACATGGGAAGCAGGTCACTAGCAGCTAGTGGAGGTGTCAGTGACGGGGTGGGGGGCGGGGCGCGGAGCAGCTGCACACACTCACTCACCACGCCTCTGAAGGAAGGAGGGATTAAGCCAGAGAAGAAAGGGATGAAGCAGGAGCACAGCACAGCCTGCCGAGAGGAAGGAACAAGCGGTGAGGGCCCGGCCACCACCCAGCCTCACACTGCCCCACTTCTTTCTGCCCTTCCAGCCCAACAAACCTGAAAAGCCCTCTGCACACAGTAGGCACTCTAACAAAACCGAAAGGTTTTGGCTTTAACAAAACAAATAGGCCTGGCGCACAGCAGGTGCTTTAACACACAAGTGAAGGAATGCTCAAGACAGGATCACAAACTGTTGACTCAGGACTGCAGGGGTGGGGCTGGTGCTTCCCAAATGCTGACAGGCGTGAGTGGAACCCCAGATTCCACACCCTGCCCTGGGGGCCCCCCTACAGCAGGCTGGAGGTGGAGCTGAGATTCTGCCACTCCACTGGAGTCCTAAGTGAAGGGGATGCTGTGGTCCTAACCCCTCCTCTCCTCCCTCCCTCCTTTCTCTTCTTCCCTCCTCCCCCGTCCCTTTCCTTTGTTCTGCAGCACTAGGGATTGAACTCAGGGCCCGAGGCTTGCAAGCAAGCATTTTCTCTCGTGAGCCCTACCTCCAACTTCCTCCCCACCCCTCTCCCTGCTTCCTGCAGAAAACACATCAATCCACTAAGGGACAGGTACACGTGGGAACCAACAGCTACTGCTTCTTCCAGAAGCAAGCTTAAACAGATGATGAAATAGCTTGCTGGGCTGCTATTACACCCACCAGGCCGCTGTCTTGTCCAGACCTGTGTTTAGTATAACAGTCTTTCATCCCAGAACCCTCATGAAAAGCTTTAGCCACGTTAATGATTTTTTTTATTTGTTTTTTGCCAGTCCTAGGGCTTGAACTCAGGGTCTGAGTGCTGTCTCTGAGTCTTTTGCTCAAGGCTAGCACTTTACCACTATAGCCACAGCTCCACCTCCGGCTCTTTTGGTATTTTATTGGCGATGAGTCTCACAGACTTTCCTGCTGAGGCAAGCTTTGAGCTATCATCTTCTGCTCTCAGCCTCTGAATAGCTGGGATTATAGGTATGAGCCACCAGCACCTGGCTTAAGTGGTATTTTGATATTGCAAATGATCTCTATGCAGATCAGACTCAGTCACCTTGAGGTGCTTTGCCAGAGAAGCATAACTCATTATGGAACACAGCTGGTCAGGTGAGAGAGAATGCCAGGACTGGGTGATACTGGCTGAGCCTTGGAGAAGGGGGAGGGGCTACTGAAATAGAGTGGCTCCATCCCCCACCCCCAAAAAGGAGAAAATACAAGGTGTGGCTCAAGTGGTAGAGCACCAAGTGTGAGCAAAAAAGCAGGGCTCAAAGCCCTGAGTTCAAGCTCCAATACTGGCATTTAAAAAAAAAAAACAAAAAACAGAGTCCTGACACATGTGGGGTTTCAGGAAGCTGTAGGCAGAATGGCTGGGTGCACAGGGAGGGGTGCACAGCACAGGGAAGAGTCCATGGCCCACCACATCCCTCCCGCTCCTCTCCGACTTACATCCACAACTTCATCCTTGGACTGGAAGTCCGACACCAGCACGTTCTCGCCATCAGACACCCGGGTGAGTGAGATGTACACCTTGCCAGAGACCAGCTGGTGGACGTTGGGGGGGAGCTCGGCGTGGAGCCCGTCTCGAAGGCATTTGGTCATGTCGAAGGAGGGGTGGAACGTGCCCATGTTCCGACTCCTGGCCTTCCTCACAAGGTCCACCAGACACATGAGAACTCGTTCTGCAGATGGGAGACAAGGACACAAAAGAGGTTGTTCCACTGGAGACAGGGACACACACCAGACAGCAAAGAAGCTGCAAACTTCTTTCTATACCTGGGGTGTCCAATACGGCAACCACAGTGACAAAGGAACCCATCAACAAAACTAATGCCAGCTGGCATGTGGAAAAGATATTCTGTATTTCAAAGGCCATGAAGGAAATAGTTCATTAAGAGTGGTTTCTAGCCAGGTGAGGCGGCTCAAGCCTGTAATCCTGGCTACTTGGGGGGATGGGGATCTAGGAATCATCCGTACTTGGGGGGAGGGATCTAGGGATCATCTGTACTTGGGGCAGGGGGGAGGGAATCTAGGGATCATCTGTTCGTGGCCAGCCTTGAAGAAGTCTCTGAGACTTCATCTCAGCCAGTGGTTGGGTATGGTGGTTGCACACCTGCAGTTCCAGCTATGATGACGATGGGCAGTGCAGCTTGCCCATCAGACCAGAGACCACAAATACATTAGCACCACAGCTCTGGCACACAAGGCTTCAACATGCAGGGTACAGGAGAGGGAAGGTAGGCTTGGCCCCGAGTCTGAATTCTGCTACTACCTCTGCCTAGCAGCGTGGCTTCAGTAGGACACTGCCTTCTGTGTAAATCTCACCCTGTGCCTTTTCCCCATCGGACAGTTATCTGACTTTTAGACACAAAGAAGATGAGGTAAACTATGAGAATAGACTGTTAATGAATAGCAAGTCTCACTCTGGGGTGGAGCACCCACCCAGCCTCAGTCCAAACACAAGAAGGTAGTTTCGGGGAGACAACAGTGGCTCATGGCTCTGTAGCCACACCTTCCTGTGAGCCGGGGTTAAAGCACCAATCCAAGGTCCCTGCAACTTGGGGGGGGGGAGGGGAGGTGTCCTGCAAAACCTCTGAGCTACTTGCCAGGCTCTGGTGAGAGCTGAGCCTCCCCTCATCCAGTCAGGCCCGGCTCCAGGCTGCACCTGTCTTCTGCCTAGCTATAAGCCTCCTTCTCCATGGTGTCAGGGTGAACTTCTGGCTCCTGGGGTCAGTGCATTTAACCCTTGGCCCAGTGAACCATCAGAACCTGTTGGAGCCCAGAGATCTGTCACTCAAGATCTGCCTGAAGTGTGCAGACAGCCACACAGCCAGTGTAATCCTCTGAGACCATCCTTGCTCCTCTCTTCCTTGTGAGAGAAGGCAGACAGGCAACCAGCCAGCACAGCCTCTCTCCTAAATCTCAGCCCACCATCTGCTCACGGATTTTACCCAATGGCAGGCTCTGCTTGTGGCCTGGGCTTCCCCAGCCACCAGGTCTGCCTGCCAGAGCAAACATGTGGAAAAGCCTGGGTAAACAGGTGCTGATAAGGGGCATGACCATCCTGCCTGGGGACCTCTGTGCTGCCACCTGCCCCAGGCCCTTGCCTACTGCACCTGGGTCCCCAGGGATGGACTAGAGAGAAACGACCCTCCGCTCTTCCCATGTGGACAAATGTTTAACTAGGCCAAGATTCAAAGTGCCTACAATCGTGCTGGCAGGGACTCTGAGGTGCCCGGGGTCCGTGGAGCCTGGAGGGAGGGATGGGATGGGATGGGATGGGGTGGGGTGGGGTGGGGTGGGGTGGGGTGGGGTGGGGTGGGATGGGGGATGTCAGAGAACCCAGCGCAGCCCTAGGACGGGCCCTGGACACCGGAACCAGAACAAACTTTCCCATCCCAGGCTCCTCCCCCGAGATGCTCGCAGCTCTGAACTAGGTCTCCTGCCCTGGGACCCCCCCCGCCCCTCCCCACGGGGGCGGCTTCGGGGTCCCGCCGGGTCCCCTGCAGCTCAGGCCCCAGGGAGCAGCACCGCCCGGCGCCCCCGAGGCCCCGTCCCGCCGCCGCCGGCTCCCGGCCCCGGGACGGGGCACCCCCTCGCAGCCCGAGCCCCGGGACGGGCCCTGGCGGGCGCCCCCCCGCCCGATCCCGGCCGGGCGCCCCCCCGGACGCACCCAGCGGGACGCGGGACAGGAAGATGACGCAGTGCAGCGCCCCCGCGGAGCACCCGAAGAACCTGCGCGCCCCGCACACCAGCTGCGGCGCGCGCTCGCACAGGCAGTGGGTCGCCCCGACGTGGTAGAAGCCCAGGAAGCCGCAGCCGGCGAAGGACAGGCTCCACCGGCGCTCGGGGTCGTTCATGGCGGCGCGGGGCGCGGGCCAGGACCCGGCGCGGGGATGCCGCGGGCGCGGGGACACCGGCGCTCCGCTCCCCGAGCGCGGGCGCTCTGCGCCCTAACCCCGCGCGGCAGCCCAGGCATTCCCCCGCGAGACGTCAGCCGCCGCCCCCGCCCACTCGGATCATGCAAATGAGCCCACGTAAGACCCAATGAGCGTGCGCGACCTCTGCCCCTCCCTCTTCTGGGCGGGGAGAGGGGGAGCCGGGAAATCCCTAACGCGGGAAAACGGAGATTTCCAAAACCTGGACAAAAGGGGCGAAAAGTCTGCCTTCCTGTCTCTTTCCATTCATCCCAGGGATCGGGATGCGGGGGGGGGGGGGGCGGGGGTCGTCGCAGCCGGTGCCCACTTGAGTCCTTACCATTCATTTAGCCTTCTCCTTTCCCTTTTCCACGGGAAAACCGGCCTGAACAGGGACTGCCATCTAAATGGAATGGAATTCAGTGTCTTTATTTGCAGGTTTGGGGGTCCGGTAAGGGGGGGGGGGCTAACCTTGGTTTTCAGAGTTTTTGCATGATTGTCTTCAATTCATGGCAAGTGGTAGGGCGTTTGGTTTAACGTTACTGACACAGGTTTCCATTTCAGAGTGCGGTCTTGTCCGTAAAAATTGTGATGGACAGATGCTAGGATGTGAGCAGAGGCCAGTGGGGTGGAGGGGTCCCGGGGTCTGGGGGTGTGGGGAGTGCAGCCACAGGTGACTTTTGGTGGGGGGTGGTTGACAACAGTTGCACACAAGGTCTGGGGAACGTTTGTTCAATTGCTGTTGCATTGGTACGGTTGTCACCTAAGAAATATGATACCTTTGGCAACTAGGCAGGTCTGAAACAGGACCACTGTTATTTGTTGGTTGGTTGGTCGGTTGGTGGGTCATGGGCCTGAACTCTGGGCCTGGGCACTCTTCATGTGCTCTTCAGCTCAAGGCTAGCGCTCTACCACTTGAGCTACAACACCACTTCCGCCTTTTCTGTTTGTGTGGTGCTGAGGAATCGAACCGAGGGCCTCATGCATGCAAGGCAAACACTCTACCACTGAGCCACCTTCCCAGCCCCTTGTTATTCATTTATCCATGGATCTGTTTATTTATTTTTCCAGTACTAGAACTTGAGCTTTTGTCCCTGAGCTTTTTTGCTCAAGGACGGTACTCTATACCACTTGAGCCATAGTTCCATTTCTGACTTTTTAGTGGTTAATTGGACATAAACGTCTTATGGAATTTCCTGTCTGGGCTGGTTTCAAATGGTGATCCTCAGCTCTCAGCCTTTTGAGTAGCTAGGATTACAGGAGTGAGCCACCAGTGCCACCCCAAACAGGTGTGTGTGCGTGTGCACATGCATGCATGCATGTGTATGCTGGTCCTGGTCCTGAGGCTTGAACTATGGGCTTGGGCGCTGTCGCTGAGCTGCTTTTGCTCAAGCTAGCACTCTACCACTTGAGACACAGCTCCACTACTGTTTTTTTTTTTTTTTTTGTAGTTAATTGGAGATAAGGTTCTCACAGACTTTCATACCTGGGCTGGCTTTGAACTGTAATCCTCAGATCTCAGCCCCCTAGGTAGCTAGGATTAAAGGTGTGAGCCACTAGCACCTGGCCAGATTTATTTTGATAGCAATATTTATCATGGTTTTTATTTCCAGCTATATTTAATTATTTAAGTCTGAAACCTCAGGGTTTTCATGTGGTAATGTTGGAAATATGTCAACATATTGAAGTATTTCCTAAGAATATGGGCATCTTGAAAGGAACTTGGCTATTCAAGCTTTTACTTCTGCAGAAAGTCATGCTATTGACAGGAAGCCAAAAAGCCAGCATATTGGGTGGACAAGCCACTCAGGGTTTTGGGTTTTTGGGGGTCAATTATGAGTCTTGAACTCAGGGCCTGGGCATTGTCCATGAGCTTTTTCTCTAAAGGCTAGCACTCTACCATTTTGGGCAACAGCATAACTTCTGGTTTTTTGGATGTTTTTGTTGGTGATGGTGGTCATGGGGCTTGAACTCAGTGACTGTGTACTGTCCCTGAGCTTGGCTTGTTACCCAGGCTTTACCCCTAACATTTACTGCCCATTCCAATTAGTCAGAATTTAGGTTCACAATCTTGCACAATTGGCCAATTCTGAAAGGGCTTACAAACTTATCCAAGCAATTAGCCAAATCTAGGACACTTGGCCAAAGCAGGAACTTGTCAGAAAACCAATGCTTACTTAGCTGGTACTTTACCACCTGAGTTATACCTCTAACCCCCTAGAAAAACAATTCTTATAACAGGATATTGAGGCTGAGATGTAGCTTAGTGGCGCAAATGCAATGTCCCAGATTCGATCCCCAGTACCAAAAAAGAAAAGACAGAAGAAAAAAAAAAGATATTGGTTAATGAAAGTAGTTTCTTATAAGATGGCAGCTATCCTTAAAATAGAAGTACTTATGCCAGCAACCGCTCTGACAGTAAAAACAACTTTTACAAAAGGGAAGGTGAGCAAGCCTTTCTGCTTTGCCTGAGACTAACCATTCCTAGCACTGAAAGCCAGTCCTGGGAGATCCTTCCCTCACAGGCAAGCTGGGACAGTTGGTCAGTCCCAAATGCTGTCTCTTCATAGTTGATCTTAGTAGACAGGCAGGGCCAATGCACTGTCAAGGGCTAGGACCAGGAAGGAGAGGCCAGCTGAGGGTGACAGAGATGAAAACACACCACTGATTCTTATTATTCACAGATTCTGAGTCTACATTTGCTGACTTGCTAAAGTTTAATTGTAACTCCAAGCCAATATCTGTGGCTTGTTTGTAGGACCTCAGGGACATGAGCAGAGCAGCATTACAGTTGAGTAGTCTGCAGGGTGCTGGTGGCTCACACCTGTAAACCTAGCAACTGTGAAGGCTGAGATCTGAAGATCAAAATTCAAAGCCAGTCTGGGAAGAAAAGACCTGAAGGATTTTTATGTCCAATTAACCACCAGAAAAGGTAGAAATAGAAGCTGTGGTTCAAAAGTGATAGAGTGCTAACTTTGAGCAAAAAAGCTTGGGGACAGTACCCAGGCCCCAAATTCAGCCCCAGTAGTGGCACAAAAACAAACAAACAAGAAAACCCACACACTCTTTTTTTTGGATAGCTCAATTGGGCCATCCAGTCTTCTTATGGAGGACTCTGTGAGCTTGTGTCATGCTTTCCCCTTTGAGCGACGTTCTCTCAAGGGATTCTGGTGTTTGAAATGATCCCATGAATAGTTCTGAACTATTGGGGCTCCCAAGTGCAAGGAGAGTGGGATGCCTTAAAAATCCATTTGTCGGGGCTGGGAAGGTGGCTCAGTAGTAGAGCGCTTGCCTTGCATGCCTGAGGCCCTGAGTTCGATTCCTCAGCACCACATAAGCAAAAAGAAAAAAGCCGGAAGTGGCGCTGTGGCTCAAGTGGTAGAGCGCTAGCCTTGAGCTGAAGAGCTGAGGGACAGCGCCCAGGCCCAGAGTTCAGGCCCCACGACCGGAAAAAAAAAAAAATCCATTTGTCAGCTGGGCGAGGGTGGCTCACACCTGTCATCTTAGCTACTCAGGAGGCTGAGATCTAAGGATCTCAATTTGATGCCAGCCCAGGCAGGAAGGTCTGTGAGACTCATCTCTAATAAACCACCAGAAAACCAGAAGTGGCACTGTGGCTCAACTAGTAGAGCACTAGCCTTGAGCAGAAGAGCTCAGGGACAGCACCCAGGCCCAGAGTTCAAGCCCCATGACCAACAACAACAAAAAGTCCATTTGCCTCACTGGACACGATGTTGCAAATGAACTATACGACTTGTGGGTGGGGATTGGAGAACACAGAGATAGTGAGGTGACATTGTCCAAAAAGAAATGTACTTTTTATGTGACTTATGTAACTAACCCCTCTGGTACATCACCTTTTTATAACAAAGAAATCACAAAAGTAAATGCGTAAATAACCCATTTGGTAAATAAGCTTCATTCAGCTATTGAGCTTCCGCCTGAAATCCCAGCACTCGGGAAGCTGAAGCAGGGTAATTGTGAGTTCAAGGCCATCCTGAGCTATGTAGCAATTCCTCATCTTAGCAAACCAAAAAACAATACACACAAAAAAAGGCCTCATTCAGAATTGAGTTTTAGTGCTGTTGACAGTGAGCCATGCAGGCACCTCCCTATTTCTTGGCTAAGTTTCCATGCAGTATCTGAGTCACCTATGTAACTGGCACACCTGGAAGCAGTTATCTCCCCCTCCTGCTAGGTTTTATCCTGGGCCGCCTCCCATCTGACCATAGGCGGGTCCCAGGTCCTGAGCTCACATCCAGACCCAATGAGGCCACAACTTTCCCCCACCTGGCCGTACCTCCTTCTGTCCCTGGCCTAGATAAGTCCTGGTGTGTGTGTGTGTGTGTGTGAGATGACTCCGCCTCTCCACCATGCACGGAGGAGGCAGGAGCTCGGTAAATAAACTTCTTTTCCTGCCTGAATATCATGTGGTGTTCTCTTCATCAGCTACCTAATGAAACCTACCTACTTAATACACCTTACATATATATAATAAGGTATCTTTAAACAGAAGCCTGATATTTAAAAGGGGAAAGGGACCAGGGGTGGTGACATGATTATGTCTGTAATCCTACAAACTAAAGCCAAAAGGGCTCAGGGATAGAGCACTAGTTTAGGAAGTGAGAGGCTCCAAGTTCAAACACAGAACAGCCATGAGTTCCTCACTCATTTAAAATGATGGCACACAGACACCGAGGTTGCCTTGTGACCAGAGTTTGCAGAAATTCAATCTTGTGTTTTCCCTAGAAGCAATGGTGTGGTTTAGGCTAATCTTCAGTATATGTGGTCACTTTGTAGAATGTAATTGCCAGAAGTCTGAATTCAGTGTGTGCTGGGGGTGGAGCTCAGGACCCTGGAGTTCCAGAGTGGAAGGAAGGGAGAAGGGAGGGAAGAAGGAAGGATTGGTTGTACTCCATGTTGACCTTCAAGAGGGAAAGAGA